TTTTGTGCGCTTGGACGCGTGAATGCTTGCATTGTCCTGCTGATAGATGTAGTCCGTCCCATAGTTTAGATGCGCGAAGGGGAGAAGAAACTCAGAGACAGTGTAGATATAATCTTCTGAGTTTTGTCTCCCCTTCAGCACAACTAGCTGCGACTTTCCGTGCTTAGAAAACGCGGCCCAAACCATCACAGAGCCCCCTCCTGCTTGCCGCCTCTTGGTTTGCCGGGGAGGCTTTCTTAGGTCCCTCCAGTAGTGCTGAAAGCCGTCGGGGCCGTCTAGGTTCCACTTCTTCTCGTCTGAGAAGATGATGGTGTCCCAGACGACCCCGGCGTCTTTCTGCACTAGCATGGCACCGGCCCATGCCTTACGGGCAGCCATGTCCTCAGGCTTAAGAGGCAATGTGTTCTCCATCTTTGTGTACACCAACCAGTCCACCCTAGAAAGGGTTCGCTGGATGGTGCGCACCGAGACGGAGAGCTGCAGCTCGGCCTTGAGCTTGGCGGCCGAGAGCTGGCCCTTGGACGCTTCGCGCACTAGGCGCCTCGTTTCGCGGTCCGTAAGGGCAGGAGGGGGGGCTGGGCGCTTGAGAGTAGTGGAGGGAGGGAGTGGAGCGATAACGCGGCCGACTGTGTCTCGGCTTCGCTCCGTCAGCAGCGCGATGTCTCGGGCGCTCACGCCGGCTTCGTGCAGGCCTAGAATTCTACTCCGCTCATGCTCAGTGAGGCGAGGCTTCTTCAGGGTGGGGAGGGGCTTCTTCGCGCGTGGCATCTTGTTGAAAAGAGCGCCTTACACCACTCGTTGTCTAGTGTAGAGTTACTGAGATGCTATCATTAGGTACAAATATACTTGATTTTTGTATGGTGGAGGTGGCCGATCTAATCTGTCGTAGTGCGAAAACCGTTGCTCTCTATGCTAGCCACTCGATAGACTGCCAATTCTTGCTCGTTAGCACAAACACCGCCTTGCCCTAAATTACCTCTAAAACATATCTAAATAGCGCCCTCCAACTCCTAAAATTGACGAAGTTACGGCCACCGACGTGGGTGGCCGATCCATCCTGTCGCGGAGTGTATCATCTTACAACGTAGTGGCAGACGCAACACGGCGGGAATAAATTCAACGTTAATGCCACCATCACAACGTACCACACGTAGTCATAGCGTTGGGGTATGGGTCACCACGTAGCCATTAGAGTCGCAACGCAGCGGCCAGGACAACAGCATAGTTTGCAGCAGCCCTAGTCACAACATAGCCGTCCGAGTCGCAGCACAACAGTGCGAGTCATAAATAACGATAATGGCTTCAACGTAGTGGTTATAGTCTCAACGGAGTAAGTTTGTGTCACAACACCGCTAATAGAGTCACAACGCAGTAACCAAAGTCATATCAAATCAGAGAGCCTTCCAACGTAGCGGTTAAGTAGTTCGCCTGACTCGCGGTCACAACCCAGCGGACTAGTCACAGCGTATCCTCGTGCAGACTCGCACAGTTACAGAGTCATGCCAACGACCATGCTGGGGAGGGGGGCAAGGTACCCCCTCCCCCCCCCTCCCTTCTAGAAGAGCACACGTTTAACCGTCGCAGTGGCTACACTCATCGTATTGGCGCGAATTTTGAACTAAAAGATGCGCAATAATCGTTCAAGGCCCAAACAAGCACACACTAAAGACCGCATCTAGTGCTCTTGAGGCGTTCTTGCTATTTGTGACGCCACACTATTTGAGAATATCGCGGACACCACGCCAACAAGAAGTTGGACATCCGTACGGACGCTCAACATGCCAAGCAACAAGCCCGTCAGCTGAAGAAGCCAACGTAACAAGCCCAAACTACAAAACAATCAAGACAGCATTGCAAAAAACACCAAATACTTCTGGCAGCGAGTTGTGTGTTTGTATTGGGCTGCTTATTACCCGAACTATCGCTCCGAACATCACGGGAAGATCACAGACGAAGGAGCTATCCTCGAGGCTGCTTTGGCCACTACATGAAGCGCGGCCGATTTTGTGTCAATACAAGTTTGACCACCCAGATCTAACGTGTATTCTACTACAGGTATTCACTTCAGATGGTATTACAAGTCTCTATTTCTAGGCCTGATTGATCTATCTATCATCAACGCCTTCATAGTCTACAATGCTCGCCGCTCTGCTGATGCAAAGCCCGAGGTTTCTCACGTGCGCTTTCTGAAGCATCTCCACCTCGAGCTCAGCCAGCTCCGACCAATTGACTGGTATCCACTACTTCGTCACCAAGGCTTTCAGCCCACTCCTACGAAGATCAGTCGCGCCACACCTGCCCTTGTGCCTATGCAGACTGATGAATGGAGAAAAGGCAACGACGACGACACACGAAAGCGCAGGCAACGAGCTTGTAAAGTTTGTTCCGTGCTAAAACGCGCTGACCAGGCTCGTGGTGGTGAAACTACGTACTACTGCTCGCAAGCTGAAAACCTCGTCAAGGCATGCATTAGCGTCTCGAGTTTTCCTGTGCAATAAGGTCAAACATTCAAGCAACGGGGTGGCGACTTTGTGCTCCGAGATCTGGCACAAACATAGGAAGGATACTGGAAGAAAGTCGCAAGCGCAAGCTTGGCGCTCCGGAGCCTACCCGTACGGCTGAAGACCATGAAGAGTATGAAGACAGCGACCTTGGTTCGGATGAGTGGCTGAGCGGCAACACGGCAAGGGCCGTCCATCCGCCCAGACGACAGTGCACTGGCAGCATTGGTGACGCGGAATCAGAGTAACTTGACTTGACTTGAGTATTCAGCCGTGCTTGCAGACCGCCATCTGTTAGCTTTCATAAATATCGGTTTTCGATGATTCCTCTTTGCGCTGTTCATTTTATGGTTGTTCACTGCGCAGTCTCTGACCTCTATAGACACTATTGCCATCATATCGTATCTTCCGCAGACACGATTGCAAGACAATACACCGTTTATGGCGGAAAGGCACTGGGACTGGGGCGTCGTCCTGACTTTGGTACATACACGATAACTAAAATACTGGTTTCCCTATTAGAGAACTTGACCACGTTTCAGCTTCAGATTCAGTTTGACGGTGGATAGGGCGCCAATCTTATCTCGAACGTGATTAGGTTCCAGGTACACGGAGGCTATCTAAAAGCGGGCTGCAACAGAGATAGCCACACTCGAAAATGGTGTTCGTCGCGCCGAAGCTTTCCGCGGAGGATGCGTTCGTTGTTGTGGCTTCTGTATGGATCCTGGCTAGGAGAAACCGGAGGCGCTTCGCAAGAATCATGGCCGTGTTGCAACGAAATAACTGATTTCGACTGCGAGACGCAGCCCCTCCTGTTGATCGATCAAGATCATTCGACATCATGCTAGACGATTTAACTGCTAAAGTTCGCTATCGTTTTTCTATTGCCGAATTGTCCGTTCTGGCCACCAAGCTGCGGCTTCCGGAGGACGGAGTGACAACACCGTCAGGTGATCGCGTGGGTCGTGTTGAAGCATTAGCGATGTTGTATCGGCGACTTTCAGAGCCATCAAAATTGTTGACAGTAGTAAGTGAGTTTGGTAGAGGGACTGGTCCCTACAGCCGCGTAGTGAAAGCAACCGCACAGCTCTTCGTTGACCAACACCGCGATTTAGTCTACTTCAACAATGATTTGGTCCACCTACGCATTACCGAGTACGCTGCTGCTATTCACGCGAAGGGTTCACCTTTACGAACGTGCTGGGCTTTTATTGATGGTACCAAGCAGTACGTGGCTAGACCTAGTGCAAGAGAGACGATTGTGTCGCGATACGAAAACCTCCAGCGAGCTCTATACAACGGTCATCCTCGAATTCACTGTTTTAATTGGCAGAGTATCCAAGCCCCTGATGGAATCATTATCAGTTTGTTTGGCCCATTAGAAGGAAGACGCCACGACTCAACCATGCTCAATCTTAGCGGCATCCTAGACCTAATGGAAGATGATCAAAGTGGCATCTTTTGCGGAAAGCTCATATACGGCGATCCAGCGTACGGGTGTAGCCGGTATATATGTTGTCCATCAATTGCAACATCTTCTTCAACTTCAGAATTTAACCGTAACATGAGCAGCGTAAGAGAAAGCGTTGAGTGGGCTTCGGCCGGGTGAAAACGTTATGGAAATTTCTTAACTGGGACAAGAAGAATCGGGCATGGCAAACCGCTGTGGGGAATCTATTTTTCGTTGTCGTCCTATTCACTAATTGCCACACATGCATGCAACCACTCGGCAATCAAGTTTCGCATTAAGTCCGCCCCCAATTGATATCTACCTGGGCATCGCTACTCCGTAGAATTTTTTTTGCATCAACACTGACTTAAGAATAGCAAACATCCTCTTTTCACGTTCTTCATCTGCTTTTTGGCGGCGAGTTTCAAGGTCCAGCTCATGGTGACGGCGTTTCTCTGCTTCTGTAGCCTCATGGAGACGTTGGTTTTCAGCTTGGTCTTGCTCAAACGCTAATCGTTTTGCCTTGAACTCGTGTTTATTTCCATCATCTTCACTAGCCGACTTCAAGCTGTCCGTAAGAGCATCCGTGAAAACAGCCAAACGTTCTCGTTTGGTAATCTTACCTTTTTGAGCGCTTCCTTGTTGAGCAGAAGGCTTGCGCCCCACCTGGCTAGCTGCATCTGAATCCTCGTCGCCGTCCTCATTCTCATCGTCGCCTTTGCCGGCAACGGATTCATTCATTGCGAGGCGCCGCATGAGTTCACCTGAACTCTCAATTCCTACTTGCTTCGTTTCCTTAATCCTGTTGGTAGCCTCCAGTTTCTCTTTCCAGTCGTCGGTCCGGGCAATTATATCGAGCAAAAGTCGATCCCGCTCTCTAAACTGCTCTACGGTTTCAGACATTCGCATAGACTGACATTGATCTCTTTTAAATTCTCTCAACAACGTAGCGAAGCGAGTACGCAGGGCTGCGCCACGCTTATTCACACCAAATTCGGGGTCAGCGCCACAGTGAACGGCAATATCATCAAACACCTTCATAATTCCCTTTGCCGTACCAACAGGAGCTCGCCATGGCTGAAAAGCGTTGACAGCTCGTAGAAGTACGACATCGCCGACAGCAGCAAACTTCTTGCGAGACGCAAGATTGCTCTTGTCAACTGTGGAAGCGAGCTGGATATCCTGGACCTTGTTAGTGTTTACTGGGGTTCCACTGGTGTTAGACGCTCCTAATGTCCTCGTTCATCCTATGAGCGCAGTGAATCCAGCGTCACCGGAGAAACAAAGCAGGAAAATGCGTTTGGTGGCGATCGAGTTTGCTGCTTCTTTTCGTTTTGAAACGACCGGCCATTGGAGCAACCGAAAAGGTTGTTTCAGATTCCATTTTAGATTGCATAGGTAGACGCTTGCGGCATCTGAAATTGAAACTCAAACGCTCCCGAAAGTTCTCTATTGACACCCATCTTGGGGATAAATGATATCGTGTACAGGGTTTAAGCAAATGGGAGCAACTCAGACACCTCGCGTTCAAGGGGTAGTTTTATGTGGAGGATGTTTCGGATTTATCCGTCGTTGTCTGTATTTCTAGATTTAGTAGTACTAAAGTTCTACTTCCATTTTTTTTTTTTTTTGCTTTCACTTCGTAAATTAAATGTTTTCTTATTCCCTCAGCAAAGGTAACAATTGTAACATGAATCTACATGCTGAGTACGAGTTCTGCGAGCACAGACAGTATTTGTGGTGTGTACACATCTAGCGCTTACAAGAACTTGGTGTCAACCCACCACTGCGACTCGTAGTCGTCGCCGAGAATTTCAGTGATGTCCACAGCAGCATCCAGCTGTCCGCTGTAGGCCACGCGTTTGTCGGTGACTGCACCGGGACCGTTGTTGTTAAACTCCTTGAAGTAGACATTGTCGGTGCTCGTTTTATCGTCCCATGGTGTCCATCCCTCAAGATTGACAACGTCGCCTAGCTCGCTGTTCTGGAAAACAACACGGGCATACTCACCCCATGGGCGACCCAGGTGGGCCGTTCCGTTCATGGACTCGTTTAGGCCAAACACGTGCGCTTTGTTGAAAACGTACTCGGAAGCAATGGTAGCGTTCTTGTTACCGTTAGCAGTGACCCAGCCTTCCCCAACAGACTCAAGATCGCAAGACTCGAACCACGCCATCGACTTTTGGCCGAAGATGAAGTCAACCGCACCGCTGATGAATGACCGAGCATACAGTTCACGGCCCTTTTGAGCACACAGAGTGTCCTGGTATCCGGTGAAGTTGCAGGCGTAGAAACCGTAGTCGGTGTTGTCGACGTACACAGCCACCGCCTGGCCGAGTTCCTCGATCTTGCCGGCTGTGTTGGCAACGTTCAAATTGTAGACTTTTACTCCACTCTTCGACTTGAAACCCAAGGTGGTGGTCAGGAAGTTGCGGTTGTTCTCGATCTCGGGAGGGATGTCCTTCTGCGCCTTCGCCTGGGTGATAGTCACCTCGTTGGCAGCATACGACATCGTGTCACACGTGTAGCCCTGCAACACAAGAGGACCGTTGAGCTTCGGGACGACCACTTGCTCGTGGTAGACGCCCGGGAAGACGAAGAGCGTGTGCTCGTCCGTTGTGTTGGGGACGTTTGCCACGCCCTCCGCCACTGTCTTGTAGCTGCCGTTGTACGCACCAGTGGCGTCGACAACGATGGCACCGGGTGGAGGCTGAGTACGAGCTTGTTCCCCACTACACACCCCTGTGGAGTTGACAAGAGGAGCTTGAGCGGGTCCTTCAGTCCATGAGTCCGGGCTACCACACTCAACGTTGGCCGTAGCTGCTGTGCCGACCGCGATGCCAGCTAGAGTCACAAGGGGAAGCACGAAAATCTTCATAGGGTCCACGGAGTTTTTGGGTTGGGTGTCGAAGGGGGATTCAAAAGTGATCTACCTGTTGTTATGGCTTCCTCGCGGTAGACACACGCATATGTCTCGGTGTACACCCGAAAGCTAACGCTTGTGAGCACATGATTATGACACAGGCGAGGTCGCATATACGTACGTCGTGTCCTTCCATGCATCCACGCCACATATTGTTGTACGCATTTCCATTTTGAAAACTGTATTTCATCTTTTGATCGAAAGTCGCGATTGGAATGATTCCGGTGCAATCGTACTTTCTGCAAAGAAAAGTGAAAGAAATCCTAAATGTAAAGGCTCGCACGTCACTGGACTATCGCATGAACTGAGTAATTCGTTTGGAACGTAATTAATGGTTATCTTGCCTATTATAAATGCTTACTGCTACTCAAGATTAAACAATAATGCAAGGATTCTTATTTAATTTCTGAAGACGAATAGGTCGAGAGTTGACACAGACGAAAGCAAAGCTTCTATTAGCCCGATACAGTAAGATGTTAATGCTTAAGTTTGAAGTATTTTACTCGATAAGCTTCTAAGCAAGAGACGATTTAATGTTGCGACTCGCGATAGGCCAAGTTTCCCGATGGGAATGGCGAAAGAGACATGGATTTGACACACCTGCCAGTTAATTGAGCCCAATGTTTATTGCATCAATGAAGCAATAAATATCGGATTGTACGAACACTGAGCAAGTGCAGTTAGGAGTTCAAAAGTATCACCTCCAGATATAAAAGCCTCAGTCTCCAAGAAACGGTTTTGGTATGCGCTGTTGAATCATTTTCAGCAATATTTTTCATATATTGACCATCAGAATTTTGTATAATGTTTAGTACAGATATGTTTTACTTGTACTTCTTTTCTTGGCGTTTTCGTTTGTGTATTTTAATCTTGAACTTATCCCGCTATTTCATGCTCGTTCCCATTTTTTCGGAGTGAGTGATTTCAGTATTCCTTAATATTACTACTGCTACTAGTTACTGCTGAAAAGGACAATAACCTTATTTACTGTAGACATACACTACAGACAAGATAATGAGATACAGCCATATAGGATATACATTCAAGGTCTTCAGCTGGCAAAAAAGCAGATAGAATACAATTCAATGCATGCTATTATCGTAATAGCTAATAAAGTCCGGTTGAACCTCAAGCTATCTAATCTCCCCGGAACACTCCTCGTGCGACGCCCTGCTCTTCCTCCTGTTGGCTTGCGAACGAGTTGAAGATCTGCTCCAACGTCGTCTGTGAAACGCTGTACTCTCGAATGTGCATCATCGTCTTGATGTCCTCAATAAGCGCGAACATCCTCGAAAGTTTCACCTCACCTCGTTCTCCACGCACTTTGAAGCGACAGAAGTCGTTCTGTCGCTCCAGTACAGTCACCCCCTCAGCGCCAAACGCTTGTCGAAGATAATCATTAAGCGTTTCGAACCTCGTCTCCTCCACACACCAGGAACAAAAAGCTTCTCCTTGGACGAATCCGTCGCGCTCCATTGCTGCTGCCAGACTGTAACCCGTCGGATGTGAAGGCGTAATCCGCTTCGCCAACTCGATATTGCCGAAGATACGACACTTCTCTTCCAGATCCGTCGAAGTTGCAAAGCTCTCACCCCCTCCAAATACATTTTGGACCAGAGTTTCCAGCTCTTCTGCAGTGACAGAGTCGAATTTAGTGTCGAACACTAGACCATCTCCAAATCTCGACTTCAGGTGCTGTACACTTCCGTAGCAACGCAGTCGTCCGCCCACCATAATGCCAACTTTCGAGCACAGAGCTTCACACTCCTCCATACTATGCGTCGTCAACACAATCGTTGATTCCTTGCCTCGTGTCGAGATATCCGCGATAACATCCCACATAAATCGACGCGATACCGGATCCATACCGGTAGACGGTTCATCCAAAAAGATGATCGGGGGACTGCCAATAAGCGCAATAGCGACCGACAACTTGCGCTTGTTACCGCCACTCAAACTTCCAGCCAATTTGTGCTCAAAGTCTGCGAGATTTAACTGCTCGATCTTCTCGGTTACCACAATTTCCATATCGGTTCTGGACACTCCTTTGATCGCAGCGAACAACTCCAAATGTTCGCGTACAGTCATACGCTCAAACAGCGCGTCAAACTGGGGACAGTAGCCAATCTGTCGTCGCACTTCGATCTGCTGCGTCAAGATGTCGAAGCCTCCCAAAGTAGCCGTTCCCTTACTAGGCTGTACGTCGCCAGTGAGCATCTTCATGGTCGTAGTCTTGCCTGCTCCGTTGATACCCAGGAAGCCAAAACATTCGCCTCGTTTCAAGCCGAATGACAAGTCTCGAACTGCTACTTTGCCTCCTTTGTAGACCTTGCGAAGTCCCGATACTTTAACAGCTTCGGTATCTGCTCCGCCGCTTGCAACTCGCTGCGCTTCGTTCGCAACATCCACGTCGATAGTGAACTTACCGTCTGCGACCGTTTCAATACCGGTATGTTTTCGTCTGAAACCAGGGATTTTGACGCCGTAGTCGATCGCTAGCACCACAGCCGAGAAGAGGAACGTTATGAGCACCAGATAAATCATCTCTGCGCCCATAAGATCCGTACTAAACGGGTTTTTCTTCTCCGTCGTGCCGTCTTGAAGCGTATCCAGTTCATTCAGCACCAACGACAGTAATCCGTTGCCTAGATCGAACAAAGGCGACAATCTCCACAGGTATTTCAGCACCGAATTGACCGATTCCGTCGATTCAATCACATCCAGAATGTACGATACGATCATCAATACAACGCCCAAGAGGAAGTTGATCTTCATCGTGAACGTTTGAGACGCCGCGTGTTCCTTGAACAGGAACGACAGGCAATAAGTGAACGGACAGATCGCGAGTCCAAAGAGCAGGAACAACACGATCACTGCCGAAAAAGTGTCCGAAGTGCAGCTCGTACACTCGGAATTACCGGTTAGAGCCGAGATATCAAACGCCTTAATCAGGATAATAGCAGCGATGCATGGCACCACGTACATCATGAGATCCCAGAGATAATTCGCCAGCCAAAAAGCAGTCAGCGACACACCGGAGACCAGCTGTTGGTGCTTGGAGTTGTGGTTCGCCTCCTTCTCTTTCACCAAATAAACCACAACTGGTAATGGGAAATACGAGAAAGAGATACACACGAACACGCAGGCACTAAACGCCAGGAACGAGCCAAAAAGCGCCTTGGCTGCTGCTGTTAACGGCAGCGGATGGTTGTTCACCGTGAGGTCCACATCTGCATCACTTGAGTCACTGGTATTGGCCGCAAAAAACCGGTAAATGGCTTGATCCATCAACGCCTTGAAGATGATCGGAGCATGAGTCGCAGTCGTATTAACCACCAAATTGTAGCCGAAAATCTGCTCGCTGCTGTCTCCATACACCAAATACGCGCCGTACTGTCCACCCTTTAAGTCGCTCTGGCCTTCGTAGCTTCGGTTGTACAGTTCTTGACCCATACGAAGCCCAAAACCAGTAGAACCCGTGGCGTTGATCTCAGGATCTGAATAAGTCACGTTAAACACAGTCGGAGAGTTGGAATCATACGATGGAGACGAAATTTCCAGCTCTTGAGCGCTAGCACCCGTGAAATGCGGGCCAAACACTGCAGAACACCACTTATCATCAGCTTGGCAGTAGTACGGAGTCGATGTCGCGTTGTCCGGGCTATAAGCACTGGTGTTCAGTACCAAGTTCGGGTCATCCGATGTGGTTCCACTGCTTTTCAAGATGATCAAACCCGCCAGTAGCAGTAGAATCGGGTAGAACGTCGTGTAGATAATCATCTTTTTCTCGCGTTTGGCGTGGTGGAAGCGCTTGAGAAGCAGAGCTCTTAAATGGGAGAAGAATAATCCACTCGTCTGCAATACCACGCCGTCAATCTCCTTGGATTCTGCGCGTCTGTAGCCCAAAGTATGTTGATGATTCTCGTCATCTGCTTCCGCCACTTTGATGAAAACTTCCTCCAATGTGGTCGCTGAAATACCGTACGAAAGAAGACCCAGTTTTGTCATTTTATTGTCCATTTCGGTAAACATCGGAGCAAACATCGCCGAGCTCTTTTGAGGCAATTGGAACGCGATTTCACTTCCCACATTACTCAGAAGCTCAGCAGATGGGACGTAGGATCGGATGAGGTTGGTGACGGCCGTATCGTCACACTTGGCGTCATCCTTAACAATAGTCAAGTTGTATCCTGCCCCGTATTGGTTCTTCAAGAACAACGACGACCCACAACAACGCAGTTCTCCCTCAGCCATGATAGCGATTCGGTCTCCCAGAATATCCGCTTCGTCCATAAAGTGCGTCGTCAATACCATAACGCGGTCGTTCCGGTTGTTTAACAGGATCTCCCACGTACTGCGTCGACTGTAAGGGTCCATACCGGACGTCGGTTCATCCAGAAACACCAACGAGCTATCACCAAGTAATGAAATCGCCACGGATAATTTACGCTTCATACCACCGGATAATTCCTTGGATAATACGTGACGCTTCTCAGTCAGACCAACTTGACGAATTTGAGAGTCCACAAGCGTCTGGAGCTCTTCGTTTCGGTATCCTTTAACGCGTCCAAACACCAGTAAATGCTCCTCGACGGTTAAATCCTCGAAAAGTACGTCGTGTTGGAAGCAGATTCCGAGAGATTCGCGGATTTCCTCCATATCTTCATTTAAGGATAATCCACGGTATTTGGCATCTCCACTTGATGGTGCAGTCATCCCCGTCAGCATCGAGATCAGCGTGGATTTTCCGGCGCCGTTGTGGCCCAGAAGACATGTGATTTGGTCCTTGTACATGACTAAATCCAGACCTTTTACGGCCACTTTAGTACCGCCAGGAACCTCAAAAGTCTTGCGTAGTTTCTGCACGGACAAAGCCTCGCCTCGGCGCTCTTGTTCGCGAAGTTCAGCGCTCACACGCTCAATGTTCGTATTTAAATCCACGGCCACATTATCCAAAGAATCCGTCGAAATATCCGTCGAAGGTTTGGATTTTTTGCATCCGCGCCAAAATGACGGAGAAAAAGGGAAGTACCATTTGAGACTTGTGCCATATTGCTTGGGAATCACCCTCTCGAAGTAGAGACCCAGTAGCGTGTAGAGCACACAGTCGAACAGGAACATCTGCAGCGCTGTGCTAAGTCGAAAATTCACATTAAGCGTGTCCAGATTCCCGAAATTGGCACCAATTCCCGACGTCTCAAAATCCGCAATTGTCGATAATCCAAACGACAGCGCGACTGGCGGCATAACACACGCCTGCTTAATGTCTTCTTCGGGGGAATCGTCCGTGAACGCTTGAGCCACGAAGTACATGAGGAAAAACACGATCATTCCGACGAAAGAACCGGTACGCGCGTTGCTGAATAGGGTACTGATGAAGAATCCAAAGCAGAGGACACTCAATCCGAACAAAAAGAAGAAGAGGAAGATGACGATCACCGAGCTGTTCGCGAATAATCCAACAAGGCCGGTGACTGCTTGGAGTACGGCGCTGAGGAGCATGATGAGAGTGTACGTGATGTACCACGTGGCGATGATCACGCGCTCTTTGACTCCTAAGATCTTCATGTATTCGCGTAGACGGAGCTCTTTCTCCTGGATAAATACCACCAGAATCCGCGACGTCGTGTACAGATACGACAGGATGAAGATAATCGCGAAAACTCCAGAGATATCGTCGTAGAATGGCGAACTCGTGTACGCTTCAATGGGGAACGGCGCCACTGAAGCTCCGAGATAAGGCTGAGGGGCCTGGCGCAACGGCGTCAGCAGTGCCTCCTTCGTTGTGCTGGATAGTTCCGACAACGAGAGGTTGGCACCATACGCGCTGACAGCAGATTTTAACATGGCGTCGTTTTCTAGATATTTCAATAGATTTTCATCCAGATCATCTGATGCGCTTGCAGTGGCTTGTTCTCGTTGACACTGACCGGTTGTAGTCTGCGTGGTTGTATCCCAGTCGGGCATACACGTCACAAAGCGAGTCACAAGCGTCTGTAATGTCATGAAACCTGTCAGCGTATAGCGCGTGTAATAATCCGTCTTGATGGATTTTTGCGACGGATACAAAGCTGCAGCATCGCCGTTCGTCGGAGGGATAAGCCCGAGTGCTCCACTGTTCGTCTCAGTCGAGTTTAAGCGTAGAGTGTACTCGATCGACGAGAACGAGCCGATGTTATCTCCACTTGGATATTTGTCGAACACGATTCCGCCGTAGATTTTCGGATTATCCAGACTGGAACCGTATGTTTTCCCTTTTACGTATTCTTCCAGTGCATCTTCCGTGTCAAAAAACGTTACACTTTCGCTCAAACTGGCAAATTGAAGCGATTTTGACTCGTTCAGTAGGTTCACGCGAGGATACCACAGCTGCATCGTCTGCATGAAATACTGGCGGGTGAAGGTATTGTCCGGTAATACCGCGATCTTGTACGGTACCACGCGCCCGTCACATTCCGTGGGTACACTAGACTCAGACGACGAATTCGTGTCCACATGTCCGTACATCGCCACACCGGTCGTACAGGTTTCGTACGCACTGGTCGAGAGTTCGTTCAATTTCATTCCGTCCGTCACAGACTGGCGAGCCATGTACCATAGCAGTCCAGTCACTGAGGTCTCATACTGCGTCCACTTGGGCAGCTCCGTCGGTACTGCCGAAAGCGAAAATCCGCTCGGGTCGTATAAATTATACGAGGTTCCAGCCGTGTCGTCATTCTCTGGATTGGTACTGTCACTCCAACCTGCAGGGACGTCCACGTCGTCCACAAGATGCTTGAGGGCACCTAATAGAAGCACGAAGATACACGGAAGCGCGATCTCGAACACTGTGGCCCGCAGATGTCGACGCTTCAGAGTGTAGTTTTTCCACAGCAGCGTACGCATGTGAGCTACCATGGTGCGGTTGGCTGCCAGGGACGATGACACGCCCTCGTTCTTCATTATAGCGGTTGCTTGAACGAATTCGTAGGCCAATTGAGTACTTTTAAACGTTTGATGTTTGCGACTTGTGGTCGAGATGGATGATTTGGAAATGAGTTTTTGGCTGGCTGACGTCGGACCTGCACATGATATACACCAGTCGAACACGTGCGACCACCTAAACCGTGTTACACCTCAATGTCTTCCGCTACCTATCAATACCCTTTCATATCTGTCTGTACTACCTTGATTGTTACAAATCGTTTACTCCTATGACAGTTAATTCACCTCTAAACTGCACTCTTGTAGCCATGAGGCATATGAAGGGGCTGGACTGAACCCACTTAAATAAGTTATGATTGCTCTTTGCAAATCCGTGTTCGGCAAACAGTTCAGTCAGCAAGTTGATTTTCACTTCGTTTTGATGAGCAAAAAAGTGTATTTGATCAACCACATCATTTGGTCCGTCTCCGATGCAGCCTGGATATTCAAAGAGTTTTTGGATGGCAATTCGAGTTTGTATGTCTTTTAGCTCGTGTGTCGTTGATCTTTTTGATGGGGCAATTGCAATAAATCCAATACACGCCGTGGAACGCGGCTATTCACCAGAGTGGTAGGATCCAGTCAGTCGACGGACTTGATGAACACGTTGAAGTGCTGGTCTATCACTGGGGCGAGTGAACCCAAAGCGACACGAACGCTGCTCGTGCCACGGAGCTCTTCAAGCCAGCAAACAACGAAGCTGATGCCAGTGGATACTGGCAGAATTGCTTCAAGCGCGAAATCCACTGTGAGCTTGCTCGCGAAGTTGGCCGTAGCCTACTCACTGGGTACCACACGACTCGTCGACTAATTGCCACGACACCACCACACATATCTGGGTCGTACGACTCGTGAAGCTATGCATTCATATTGAGTAGAAATCGATGATGGAACATATGTACTTGCTCCTTGGGCGTCGCTGAAACTGCACACTGTTGTATGACTTGCAAAGCAGCGTGTAGATATGGTCTCGTAGATAACGTCACAGATCGCTGAGTTGGTTACTCCTCTCATGAATTTCAGTCGTTACAGTTCAAGCTAACATAACATAAGCAGCGAAGTCTACCTTTAAAAAAGATAGAGAACTATCGCGAGCTTGCTGCGTCGAGGTGGCCATTATCTTCAGGCAGCAAAAGGTGTTAGCGGAATTCGCTCAACGAAACTTTCCCATGAAGTCGCAGCAACGTGCGCAGTTGTTCCCAGTAGATCGCGCGATCCGGAAGCTGCAGCGCTAGATCCAAGGCCATGAGCCAGTCTTCGACATTCACGTTGATATTGCTCTTCATCATCCGTACACACATTATACCTCTCTGCAGTACTTTACGAGCTCACGATAGCACTCCACACTCACATTTTGCATACGCTCAGCATTACCATCCAATAGCTGCCTCGCTTGTTGCATTGACCCGCTGCAAATGTGAGCCAGCACAACACAGCGGCACATCGACGGGGTGAGTTTTAAACCTTGGTCTGTTGCATCAGCAGCCAGTGATAGCACCTCCGAGAATTGTTTCGCTTCCACACTCATTGACACTTGGTACGGAAAAGGTTTGCCCGTCTTGTGTGCGTTGCAAATGTCCTCTGACCCAGCTAGCAACGAATTGAGCGTGTTGCTAGGAGTAAGTGCATAGCTGACAAGATGCTGATCGCCAATGTCCACTCTTTTCAGGTCGCAATGATACCGGTATATTCGTTGGTACTGAGCTGGACCTCATGCCCTTGCATATGACGCAAGATCTCGATCACAGACGAGTGGCTCTTGACGTTAACAGCAGCGTTTAAAGCCTTCACGTAAGCCCACGCACCCGGAGCACCATCACCCATCAACGTCTTGAACATTTCCAGAGCGTAATCGTACTGCATTGCTTTACTAGCGCTGAGCACTCGCACCTTTGAGATGTTGAAAATTTTTCTGAAGAAATACCTGAGCTTTGTCGATAGATCCGTTGCGAATATGGGCCAATGCAACTATTTTGTAGACTGATTGGTCCCATTTGAGTCCTTGGCGTGGCATATCATTGGCGAGTGCAAGCAACACATCGAATTGGCCAGTCTAGAGTAGGACCGTTAGTGCGGATTTACACGTATTTAGGCTCCAGTTCTCCCTGTGCTGGCAAAAAATCAATCTCCGAAGTTTTAGTTCGTCACCCTCACTCTGAGTTTAAGCCTGGCCAGCGTGATTTTATCCAGTTGGAAGACGGGCATCTCCTCATACACCTGGATCACATCACTCCACCGTTTGTCCCGCTACAAACAGCTACTACCGACTTGTACTCATCAAACGTAAACTTGTATCCCTCTTGTTTCATTGTAGAAATAATGTGCAGCGCCAAATTTGGTTGACATGGATTTTCGCAGAATCTACCAGGGTTCGACAGGCAAAATCTGACAATTTCAGCCCACGTTCCTGGGTCTCCAGCAGCGTCTGATACACACTCTCTCCACTCACTTCCACCTCTTCTTCTATCCCCAATAATTGCTGGAAAACGTCCTTCACAACTTCCTGTCGACGACCTAAAATGGTCGCTGCTTCCAGAGCCCCAGCGAACATCCAGGATGTCGAATCTACGGATTTTTCTCTGTGATGACTGTTGAATTCTGTCAATATTAACTCAAACTCTTTTTTCATACGCAACACGCTAAAGAGCTTGAGGCGAGCAAAATGTTTCAAAGGAACCGTGTGCTCCTGACAAAAGCGCGCCAATTCACACACTGATCATAACGTTTGTAAGGCGGTCACGAGTGTCGACGCCTGGTTTTTCGTTAAATTTACAACCCCCGAGCCCTGGATCTCTTCAAATTGCTTGAGCGTTGTGGCCAAGTCCATTGCGGGACGTTGAACCAACTTGGATGGTTTGTCATTGCTTCGTGACTTTGTCGAAAGTGATCGGGAGAGTGGAGACCATGGAATTGCTGGTGAAGAAAACGGCGAGTGACTCGTGGCGACGACGAGCTTTTAGCTGCAGCGGGACAGACGGAGTAGCGAGGGTGTCACCTGGAGACTCCGGCGAATCTGCATGTTAGCCCCACGTTGTGGGGAAATTTGCGGGAAGTTCGAAAATCGTACTTCGGTGAGATTTGATCAAGCCAATCAATTCGCTCGACTTCCAGTTTGCTAGCATGGTCTTACAATTCCAACGAAGTCAGGAAGTGCAGCTTTTCATAGGCTAAACACTATTTCTGAAGCTACTATAATACCGTGGTTATGCTTGACAGCATTATTAACCCTTTTATTGCCAAGAGAAAAAAGCAACAACCTTTTTTTTTTTTTACTTTTTCTTCTTTTTTTTTTGTCCGACGGTTGGGCACTGCTGCGTGCCACTTCTGAAACTGCAGTGATCGCAAGCTGGCAATAGTATTTTATTTTCATGCGGGGCTCACCTTCCTTTTCAACAGTAACAAAGCATGCGTGCAAGGCCCATATCACCAAATCGTTTCTCTAATTCCGTGACAGCGGAGAATTCGTCTTGTGTTTTCTCGAACTTGTAGATATTGTTGACGTAAGAAACCCATGTTCTCAAGTATCGTCACCCAGCCCCAAACACACTCTCAAAAAAGCATACGGACAGGATGGTAGAACATGTTACTAATTTAGCGCATCGAGCGTACAGCTTGTAAAATATCACTCCGAATAGTATACCGTACCATCAAACTCGAGCCAAGTAAATCTGTATGTGCCTTACTTCTTTAATGAAGAGTTAGTCTCTGAACTCACCAGCAGCATCAGTGTGGTCCGCCCGTTTTGGTAAACAAAAGTTCGAGTTTATAATAAAAATTAATGAAGCTAAAGTTATTAGCCGACAGAGTGGTATTTTCAAAATGCGCTCAATATTGTAATAACGTGTATCTGAGCTCTATTTTAGAGTGTATCAATTGAAAATATGCGGTGTACTTATAGTATAATGTGATAGCACCTGTTAGTTGTAAGAGGTAATCTCAACCTACTGTGGACTCAAAGCAGCTTCATTCCTTTCCCCGCATGCTAAGTTACGTGAACAATGCCAACGAAGAGCTGAACGCGAGAATATAATGTCTCGCATTCGCAGGCAACACTTCCAAAACCACTTCTGTGATAAATTCCAGTCTTGAATAGCGAAAACATTCTCTATTAAAAATAACTTTTCTAACACAGCTCCATAATCTGCGATGTTTGGGCTTCAGTTGGAACCCTGCTAATGCAGGCAATGCAAAATAGATTCCGAGCAATTAGCCTTGCAAATAATTATCTCGCTCACAAACTCAATTTTTCGATACGTTGTTTGTTTTATTGTAATATTTCTGAAAAATATCGTTTGTTCTTGTCAGCCTTCAATAAGGTCTTAAGTCACTCTAACAGACCTTAAATAACACTGATATAAACCAAGTGAGTTTTTGTGACCGTTTGGGATGTCAGAGTGAAACAATTTAGCAATGGGCAAATTGCCAAAAAAAAAAAA